AAAGCTGCCTTGCTTCCCGTCTCGCTGCGCCTGTCTGTGGCCAGCCTCACTCTGCTGACGGGTCTCTTCTCAGTTGAGACTTGTATCAGATTGATGGGTGTTTCCACCTTCATTCACCATCCACCCCTGCAGCTATTCATTTCTTTATCCTCATTTAAAACAAGGCGAGGCAATAGAAAAAATGTGCTTGAGTGGCAGGCAAGGACAGAATGTGTATTTGTGGAACCTTGAGCTATGTGTGGCTGTGTGACTGCCCTGGGCTCCAGGTAATAGGGCTTGGTCTGCTCTTGGACAGGTGGTTTGTTTTAAAAACTAAGAGTGATGACCACAGAAGAAGAAGGGAAGCACTCTAACAGTGACTGTGACTATCTCTACAAAGTGCCTGTTTCAGCAGCACAAGTCCTTTAGATGTTCTACAGCAGCATGTTTATGTCCAGCGCTGGATGTGCAGGTGTCCTTATCTTTAAGACAGAATGAATAATGGGCGTCTGCCTGCTGAGGCTGAAGCCTCCGGCTCCTCTTTACCTCAGTTATTCTGGGTGTGTTCGCTGACCATTTAACCAACAGCAGAAGGAGAGGTCTCTGAAATCTCCTGTATTATCATAATCATGTAAAACTCAGTTCGCTCCCTCCTGACTTTGTTTGCCATTGCTCCCAAACTGCAACAGTGCATTTTAAAGCTCTTTAAAGTAGGGTCAACCAATCCTAATAGTGGTTAATTAAAGCTTTATTGATATTTTTTGTTAATAGATTAAGATGAATCTATGACATTTTAATGTAAGAAAGAACATAAAAAATTATTTTTGCACTAATTTTGGGAAAAAGGATGAATATGGTGAGAACCTTTTACAGAAAAGATTCATAAAATGTTTCACATTGAAAATTAAAAACACTGGTAAAACAGACAGGTGAGGAATTAAAAGAAAGCCCAGAACAAGTGAGGATGGGAGAGCCCTCCAGGAGCAGTCAGAGACCTGGAGAGTCAAGGTGGAGCAGTTCTGGTGGCCTGTGGTGGCCAAGCTCCTCACTGGGACTCTGTGCTGGGCTGTCCTGTGGTTTGGCACCTGTTGTTAATTTTAGCCTGTTCACTACATAAACAAACACTTTATTGCAGCTCGTATGACTCATTTCAAATTGTCTGCTTTTATGTTTTTGAAAAGGGAAAACTAACTGTGCTTTTGGAAATTTTCTGTCTGATGGTGAACATAGGGAAGCATGGTGTTTCTGTGGTTAGCACTGTCACTTCACAGCAAGAAGGTTCCAGGTTTGAGCCCTGGCCGACCCAGGGCCTTTCTGTGTGGAGTCTGCATGTTCTCCCTGTGCCTGCATGGGTTCCCTCCGGGTACTCCAGTTTCCTCCCGCAGTCTGAAGACATGCAGCTCAGGTTGACTGGAGACTCTAAACTGCCTGTAGGAGTGTGTGTAGTTGTTTGTCTACATGTCAGCCCTGTGACAGACTGGCGACTTGTCCAAGGTGGACCCCGCCTCTCACCCACTGTCAGCTGGGATTGGCTCCAGCCCCCTGTGACCCTATTCAGGAATAAGTGTTATGGATGGATGATGAACAGTGTTCTAGGTGCAAACCTTTCTTTTGTCTCAACATTTTGATACCAGAGTGCTTATTACATGCTGGGATATGGCTCCACACACAGCACAGGAGACTGTGGGTTGCCACAGATGAACTGACCGAAGAGTCACATGAACTTAAATTCTATTTCTGTTCCTTCTGAAGCTGAAAATGTGAACCTGTTCATCTGCACACAATCACAGGTAGTCACAGTGACCGAATGGAAAAATAGTCATGCTGTGTGTGTGTGCATGTGAGTGTGTGCTGGTTTCTTATGGGTTCTATTATTAGATGTTATGGCTTAAAATAATGTGTAATGGTTTTAATGGAGTCCATTGCTGCGTGTAATAGTTTTTTTTAATTCTGTATTTCTGCCGGTTGGTGATGGTGTGTAATAGATTTAAAATTTAAATCTATTGCTTTAAATGTAAAGGTTTCTTTTGACTTGTAATGGTCTTAAATTCTGTCAAATGATGTGTGGTGGTTTCCATTTCCATTCCAGTGTTTGAGCAGCAGTAAAGGACAAAACAACATGACACCATAAGAATAAACACCCCACACGTATTTTGAGAAAACAAGATTCAGGTACCCGAAAAAACAAATAAAAATATAATATTTCAGAGACAATCAAGAACAAAAATAGACCTCCCACAGTTTGCCCCTGAGACACAAGTCAAAAAAGATACCTAGGAACAAGACAAAAAAGAATAGTATTGAGAGGAATCAAGAAAACAACCAGGAAATCAAGAACAATCGAATATTACTCACACAATTAATCCCACAATGGGGGAAAGAAACCTGTATTTCAGCCATAATAATCCCTGAGGAACTACTCAAAAATACCTAAAGCAGGGCAATGTACAATATTTGAGAGAGATCAGAAACAAAATATTACACATGAGCCTATTTA